GCGATTGCATTTTCATGGACAGTAGACTGCGGCAAAGCTGGAAATGAAACGTCTTTGTTTGATCTGAAACTATTCTTTGCGCTCTAAATGCTCTGTAGATACATGAAGAGAAAATATGAGATGCCATCTCACAGAATATTGTTGGCCAAATAAAGATAACGGCAGCAATATTGCCATTGAAATGACCTCGCTTTGGCACCTTGCTTCCTTCCTATGCAGAATATCTGACAGGACAGTGAGCATCACGTCTGAATAGTCAGAGAGAAAAGTAAAAAAGGAGAGGGAAAGGGATTAATAGGGCTGTCTGAAGAAAAGAAGGGAGGACTTTTTTGAGGAAGGTCACAGGCCTTAAATCAACAGAATAGTTTTAATATTCCTAATCCTGGTGGCAGTGATACAGGAGGGGAGGGGGGGGGGGGGGGGGGGGGGGGGGGGGGGGGGGGGGGGGGGGGGGGGGGGGGGGGGGGGGGACAAGTGCATGAGATATGATGAGATTAGGGTTGAGGGAGGAGGAGAAAAAAGACGGGATGAGCTTCTGATGGCACAGCAGGTTTGGCCTCCCCTGGGAAACACAGGGGCATGCAAGGAGGGGGGATCACCACTCTGCAAAGGACAAAGGGAGGGAGAGTGTGTGTCTGTACTTATATTTGTGTGTGTGTGTGTGTGTGTGTGTGTGTGTGTGTGTGTGTGTGGCCTCTGCCCGCTGTGCTTCCTACAGTACCACCCACAATGACAGTCCCCCCTCATCGCTGCAGTCAATGTCACGGCTGCCAATCGAAACGACTGCGGGCCAATGAGAACCCATTCTCTCCCCATGTGAACCAATTAGGTCAAAGCAATGGCAAGGCAAGCTGTGTCACTATGAGATGCATAGTTAACAAATAATCCTGTTAATGTATCGCTGGATTCTTGGCTATACTGGAGAACTAATTTGGCCTGTTTGGTGTCGCAGCTTCTCGCGAGCGGACACACGAGGCACGACTGGATTCACCTCCTCAAGGAGAACGCCTTTTAATCCATATTTCTTCATGTTAACGGTAGTGTGTGTGTGTGTGTGTGTGTGTGTGTGTGTGTTTGAGAAAAAGGGTGTAATTCATTTATAAGACGCTCTGGTTGAATAAGAAAAAGCAATATTAATGAACAGACTTGTAACATGTCTGTCGCTTACTTGGCTTTTTTTTTAATAGATTTTGTGCCTTTTTTCACTCCTTGTAATGCCAGTGGGTTTTTTTAGCTCTGATCCAAGGCCGTATATCACGTATCATGGTCCAGCATGGATATTTCCCAGGAGTAAATTCCAGTCAGAGATCCACTGATAAAATTTGTAATAGAAGAATAATGAAAATATAAACTCAGTGGATGACAGGAAATCTAGAAAATTTTAATCCTGAAGCTAGAATAAAAGGGACGTCAGATGAGTATGAAGTAACAACAAGACTGAGAGTCTACAGCTATGTTAGCAGCGCTGTGATTCTGTACTTAGGTACAGAGGGGCACCGAACTAAATGCTAACATCAGCATGCTAACATGCTCACAAAGACAATTCTAATGAATGTAGTGTTAACCATGCTGACCATCTTAGCTTAGCATAAACCAGAGTATTCATCAAACTGAAACTCTGAGTTGAACATGGCACGAAATGAAAAGTCAGAGGATCACTAAAGTGATTACAGTTTACCCTGAGGGGGGCATGAATGTGTGTAACAACATTTCGTGGCAATCTGTCCCCCGATAGTTGAGCCTTTTTCACTTAAAATCACATGCCAACCATGTGGTAGCACTAGAGAAGAAGTCAGCAGATAATCAAAGTCATTAGGATACATTAACTGGAAATCATGAATGTCTGAACCAAATTTTGTGCCAGTCCATGTGTTGAGATATGTATTCACTGGATAGGTAAAATATCTGTCAATTTTTGGCGTTTCATCTCAGGGCAGGGCTCCTTCCTCACCCATCAGCCGGCGCACTGTGTGCTGCCACTGGCAGGAAGTTATATTAGTGATTATTATAAGCAATACTAGCAATTAAAACTGTACTCTCATTTATACATTTTCAGAATACCAGTAGCAGCAATGAGCGCTCCTCTACTGAGCATCACTCAGTGAACAAAGAGGGTGTCCTGCATCATTTTCGATTTAACATTTGTTTATTGACTTAACTGAAAGAGACCTTTCTTGGAACATATTTTGATTTTTGTTACTTTCCAGTCACTTGATGTTGTTTGTAGATTGCAAAGAGGATTCTCCATCAGATGATTTTTCAACATTATTTCTGTTACAAATTTTATGAGTGAATCTGACTGAGATGTCCATGATGAGTAAGGATAGGGTGCTGGATCAGGACCTGTTATTAGTGCTGCAATGTTACTATTGGTATGTAAAATTATTATCCAAAATTTCTACTAAAATTACTGGCTGCTACTTGTTTGTGGAAGGCTTTATATAATCTACAACCCTGTGTTCGCATGGGCAGATAGGCAGAACTTTGTTTAAGGAGTTGCAGGGAGGGACGCTGAAACTTGTTTTAGTGATGCGTGGTCAGTCAGGGGGGAGTCGACATATAAAACTAAAGGCACTGTCCTTGTTTTCAGCTGGTGTGGTTCAGGTTCAATAATGCCTCAGAAAGATCAAGAGAGAAAGACAGAAATAAGGAAGGGCTCCTGCTGCGATGCACGCTGGCAGCACAGCAGGCGAGCCGTCATAAGAATCTGCTTTAGAGTTGTGTACACACAACTTTTAAGGTCTACAAATGTAAAAGGATCCACTCTATCACTAGTTCAAAACCAAGAAACAACAAAGATTTAGAAACTAACAGCTTTGTTCAGTGTTTATAGGTATATGTTTATATAGCTATATTTTATGTCTCACGCTGCAGATTTGGTGCCTTCAATCTGTTAGCTAGTAAAAACTACACAGTAGCAATGCAGCGCTACGGTCAGCCACACATACCCAAAACAAACAAAAGATATGTAAACACTTGCAGACGATGGCTAAAACAACACCACACACCTCTTAGTCTTTTTATCATAAAGAAAGCTTCATCACTAAAGTCTAATAATTCAAATGTGAATAATTGAAATTGCTATTGACATTGTGACTTCTCTTCTCGTTCACTGATTACTGTACAAGTCTTGTATGGACAGAAGTGAGACAGGAAGCTACGTACAGTTTTAGGAAGATATTGCCCTCTCACAAGATCGACACTGTGGGCCCTCAAACATTTGCGAGGGATAACACACTGATTTCAGATCAGCGCTGAAGGGCAAATCTGTCCTTCTCTGTCTGTACATGATGGGTAAGGCCTCGACCCTGGTGTCATACATTGTCACAGCGCAGAACTGATGTAGGAAACAAACAAAAATAAAACAGTTTCACTTGTTTTGTTTTTTTCCACGAAAGCAATGCTTTTATAGAAACAATTTCAGGATGTCAAACAGCACAAGGACAAGCACTCAAAAGGGGGAGGAGAAGAAGAAGAAGAAGAAGAAGAAGAAGAAGAAGAAGAAGAAGAAGAAGAAGAGGAAGTACGTGATGGTTCTAAAAGGAAGTCAAAAAAGTAAAATGTCGCCTTTAAATGATGATTGAGTCTCTTTGTGCTTTTGTAGTTAGTCAGCCGATCCACTAGGGGGGGCCCATCTTTGGGGAGTTTAAAGAGAGAAATAGAAAGAGAGCGAGAGAGAGAGAAAGAGAGGGTGCCACCGCTTCCTGGCTCTTCTTATCAATATTCAGGAAGCAGATAGAAAATGGCGTCTTATTCAGTGGCACCTGTGTTAACTGAGGCAACAAACTATAAACAAGAAAATCGCAATTGGATCATATTTATAAACAAAGACTTCTTTTCATAATGAAAGTTTTTAAGATTTCATATTTCACTGCATCGTCATCATCATCATCACTATTCTAGCACAACAGCGTGACACATAAATCATTACAGGCATTCACTCTCATCACGGAGTGCAGCGCAGAAAAGCTTCTTAATATATTACTCTGTGTCTCCTCCCATTATAAATAGCTCTTGATCAGGACTAAATCTTTGCTGGGGAGGTAGGATAGCACCTTCCTGTACGATAACACTCCCTGGGGGGTTTGGTTTTGGTCTGATATGAACATGTGCACTGTTCATTTTACAGCAGAGGGCTCAGATTTTAGGCTGTGCTTTTACTGAAAGGCCTGTCCGTCAGTCAGTGGCGTTCAAACCACTTTGGATGCAAGTGTGGATGTTATGCCTCATTTTCACTGCATGGTTCAACTCCACTCAACTCAACTCACCTTTGGTATGAGGTGTTTCTCTCTATTTGTTTTTCCACTGCAGATAGTACCCCCTTAGTCCCTTGCAGCCAGATCTATCTCCACAGTGTTGTGTCAGCACTCGAGAAAGGGAAGCACACATTATTATTCTGCTATATCGGGAAAAGTGCCCTGGCTTGTTTGTATTTCTTTAAACCAATCATATCCATGATCCAGCTACCTTTCCCCTGCAAGATAGTGTTGGGGGAACTTGTTTTAATGGAACATTTATTGTGAGCTGAACACTGTCACACTGTTAAAATGGCTAATTCTTTGTAAAAGAAAACAAGCTGCAAGCTGTATGTGGCTCTACCAGAACATTATTACAACAACATCACAGAAGCTCCCGTTAGGTGGAACAGATAGTTCATTCATCACATTCACCACTGACGTATGCCGCTGCCAGGGTGAAAAGATGTGGCACAACAACTCAAACTTGCCGTGCCAGAACACTGATCAACATCGGACATGAGAGGGGTCCATGTCACTGGTTTGACAGCCCATTGGTTCGACATCCCATTAGTCCGACTGTCCGCGGTGCTGAACGGCTCGCGGCAGGCGTATGGTGCGCCGCAACCGGCTTGAGGCGGAGCAGGCTCACGACTGTTTTTGCCACTTTCTTTTTCATTTTAACCCACACCATGATCTTTTCCTGACCCTAACCAAGTGGTTTTTGTGCCTAAACCTAACCAGACCTTAACCACAGGGCATCATGATGATTTCGGAACAGACTTCGGAACAATGGGTTTAATATGGTCGAACCAATGGGCAGTTCCCCATGAGAGTCCTATAAGATGGAGTCTGGGCTTTTTCAAAGAGGAGTTAACAAGTAGTTTTATTTGTTATAGATCTTAACAACAAGTCATTGGAAGAACAAAGCCATACTGGATGATCCAATTCTTCATCAAAAAAATGCCAATTTCACCCTGTAGGGTACTACTTCAGAGGTTGTTGTTTAGCAGAGGGAATGCTGATCTAATTGGCTGGCCAATGGCAGGCTTATAGTCACAGCCTACATCCAGGGAGTCAGACTAGTACCCCCTCAGTGTAGGTGGCATTCTCAGTTGATTGCCATAGCACCACCACATGAATGTGCTGTGAGACCAAGCATAACGGGATGCTCACTGAATCCTTTCATTGACAATCAAAAAAAGGAACATCGACACTTTATGGCATAGTGTACAGCATAGTTTGGGGGCTGACATTTTTAAAAACTGAGTGAAGATCAGTGGTCTGCAGTGTTCAAACTCCACCATCTATTATCAGCTCAGCTAGCCTGGAACCTTGACTGAGGTGGTACCGAAAAAGGCACCAGGTACTATCCACAACTTTTGCTAATGGAAAAACTAAATTAAAAATGAGTCATGTTGAGTAGAGCCATGCCAAACCATTCAGTGGAAATTAAGCCTTAGATGTTCTGTGATACACTCTGGGATCTGACTACAACCATTGAAATTGAGTGTTTGCTAAAGCTCACCCTGCATGGCAAGCCTGTCAAGCTTTGGGTTTCTTAGCACTGTGAAGCAGTGTGCATGGGGCTATAGTAAGAATGATGGTTGACAGTTACAGATAGCGGAATCTTTTTCAAAACCAAATGCAAAAGAGCAAAGGTGTAATGGTTGATTAAACTATAGGCCAGATTTGTAGATATTCAGCAAAAAAGATGGTTGTTGGCAAAAAATTTGACTTCTGTCTGAAAGGATCCATTGTTTGAAAATCTCCTACAGTTTTTCTGGTAAATCTGCTACTAGTATCACTATAAGTGTCATGTGTGCCATGCAAAATCAGAAAGATTGACAGTCATAGCAATGGTGATTAATTGGGGCGGGACTTGGCAAACAGTCAATTGTGAAACTGAACACTCCCATTAAAAAATATGGTATCCCATTTATCAAGCATTGTGATCTCAGGGGAAATGTGTTGAATCTACAGTAAAGAGACTAGAGTGATGGTGATATGGGTGATTTTGGTCATTCAAAGTTATGAGAATTGGATTGTCTTTACTTCACCGTAGCATGGCATAGAAAATTGATTGATTGATGTTTGGGCGTAAAAAGACAGTTTGAAAAAGTGATTTTGCTCTAATCCTCTTAAATAATTTCGTCAAAGATATTCCCAACCTGAAAACACAACAGTCTATCCAGAAGATCACATCAGAGTTTCAGTCCCTGCTTCTTACTTAGTTTAGTGACTTCTTGGATTTGTAGATGATTAGTTAAAAATAAAATAAGGATACCAAGCCTTGATATATTATGGGAGGGTCCAATTCACTTGCTTGTGACCAGTCCTACACTGACACTGCCATGCCTGCGTCCTCACAGTAATGTAATACCCATACAGTCAGTTTGAGTTGCAGCCCAGCAGTGCGTTTGTTGGCTTAAGTGTCAGTCAAAGAAAACTCAAACTTCACTGACGTCAAAAATTTGAAATCTTCATCCTCATTGTCGTCCATGCGTAGGCAGGTTTGTACTGAGCAGTGCTGGTGCTATCCATTCCCTCGTCCCTCCCTCGTCTCCTTCTCCTCATCCTCCTCTTCTCTCAGTAGGAGGGGTCAGTGGCGGTCGTAGGCGGAGGCTGTTGCAGTGGCAGCAGGGCCCGCCCCCCGTGATGTTGCACTGTAGTAGTATGGTGACCCTGGGAAACAACACAGAAACAAATGTTTCATTCAAAGTCTTTTTAATTATTTTTTATGAGTCCAATTTACTATAGCTTGGGTCTTGTTTTTTTAGTATTGGCCTCATTAGTTATAATGTAACTGTATTCACCATCGCTACAACAAAGCCAACTATTTAACCAGATTATTTAAAGCTGCAATAATACAATTTTTGGCCACTTGAGGGCAGCGTAATAAGCTGTAAACACATGCTGACATATTATTGCTGTTTAAAGTTGATATGGCTGGGGAACATATTAGCAAACAGGTGCCAACTGCCTACAAATCCAATAGACACAAAGCAACATTAGCCACCTAATATTCACTCCTTTTTAGCTCTATTTTGGTCTCCACCAGCTCCTGAGGGAAATATTTGGCTCTTTGGCTGCTAAATGCTCCGCTATGATCACCTGCTAACCTTGCCTATTTTTGTTGGTGCTGGGCAGGCAGTGGTTTTTGATGAAAATAGTTGCCTGCTACATCTGAAAAGAAGGTGGTGAGAGTGAGACAAAATGGGAAAGTTGGACCCTAAAAAGCTAAATAATTAGCTAAAAGCTACTAATATGCTTCATAGAGCTGCACATACTTTCTCCTCTGAATACATTTGAATAATCTGGGAATTTGTTTAAGACTTGAAGGATTGTCTCTGTTTCTCATGTTTCTTTCCTTATTGAACTTCTCCCATTAACTTGGTGAGTTCAATTTTTATATTACTGAAAGGAATGATGGTTAAAATGACAAAAAATAAGACCCAGGATGTAATAAATCGGAATTATCCTCTTAACTACTTTGGGTTACTGAAATGCTGTGTTAATGTGGAATGAGCAGCTTCAATTTTCTGTTAAGATTATATTTTACTTTGAATGTGAGAAGTGAAAGGCAGGGATGAGATGACATGAACTGATGAAGCTAATGACAGAAAAAATTAGTCTCCTTGTCGTGTACAACCAATAAAATGAACTCTACTTTAAGACACACGTCTCTTCGTCTCCTACCTTCACTCTTTTTTTTCTCTTTATCACACACACATACACACACACACACACACTATCTAAGTGACAGTCTAAGCTGACACACTGAGTACAGCTCTACTACTACTGATCCCTTGAGTCTATTCTCTCCTCAGGGAAGAGGTCAATTCAATACTGTAACCCCAAAGATACACAGAAACCCACACTCACACCTTTATACACACTGAAAAAAAAACAGCCTCCACACACACACACACACACACACACACACACACCTGTCTCTGTCACTTCCATCAATCAGCCCAGCTGTGTGTTGACAGGTTATGTCTGTCCACAGTCCAGGTAATCTCAGGAGGCTCTTTGGGGAAGTGAGGCATTAAGCCAGCCTGACAAACTATTTAGTCTCAGTCAAGACTTCAGACGCCCTCTCTCCCCTTTTGCCTCTTTTTTTTCAAAACTCCTCTTTCTTTCATTTGTCACCTCTACTCTCATCCCTCCCTGCCTTTCCTCTGTATCTCTGCCTCCCTGTTCCCGCTGCCATCAATCTTAAACCTTTCAGTGCCTCCTAATGTGCATCTTGTCCTCATATTATGTGACCGCTCATCCGTTATCATACTAAAGTTCCCTCACAGTCACTTTTTCCTTTCTTCTCTATCTATCATAATTTCTCCTCATCATTACACCTCCTTCACCTGAATCATCACACATACTCTTTGCTTGTGTTTACTCTTCCATTTGCTTGCTTTCTTTCTCCACCTACCTTGCATCTGTCCTGCCTGGCTGGTGAAGAGACTGGAGGAGCAGCCGATTTCCGTCCCCAGGAGAGACCCATAATCCTGCTGAAACACTGGGGGACAGAGGGATGGAGGGAAGGAGGAGAGACGAGAGATGAGGAGAGGAAAGGGTGTGGGGGGGACACTACAGGTCAGTCCAGCACTGACCCTTTTCACCTATTGACCTTTACACCGTCACCCACTGACCGTTTCACCTTAAACGTGACCCATTAAATGACTCCCTATAGACAATGACTTTGACATTGACTGTTTTTGGCTTAGGGTAATTTTTTTCTCTTAAACATTAATGCAGAGATGTGAAGACAGCATTAAGTCTTTCTGTATAATATTGGCAATTATGGTTTTGGGAGGGCAAAATTGGTTTACTAATCTCTTTTTAGAATGAATGATAGATTTTGTCATTAGTTGGTAGGAGTGATGACCTGGTAGTGGTAGTTATGCACGGACAATAACTAAGACTAAAGTATATAAGTAATAAGTAATGTAATGAAAGGTGTTCTAGCTGGTGGAAAAATGATGGCACCAAATATGAAATATGGATATAGTCCTCTATCATGGGGCATGTAATTCTATATAAGGGTATTGATTTATACAGTGATATATTTTCTGGATTGGCTGAGAAATTATGGATGGACAAAATAACCAGGACTTTGTGTTTTTGTCTTATCCAGTAAATTAAACACCTGACAAATCAAGGTATTTTAACACTTTTGTGCAAAGATCATATAATAATTGAGGATATGTCGATCAATTTTTTTCAGTTCTGATACCTGCGCTTTGTGTATCAGCCAATACTGTGTGCCAATCCAGTACCAGCATATGAACAAGCTGTATGCTTCACTGTGTGGAAATTACAAGTATCATTCTTCCTTGTCACAATACCTGATCTGGGTATTAGAGTCAGTACCGGCCCAATATCAAATCGGATATGTGCATCCCAGTCAAAAATGTAATGACACATAAAGCAGCACTGCTCACTGATTTGCAGCATTATCCACAATGGCCTCATACCCAGATATATCAGAGGAATAGGTAGTGTGTTACAACCAAGCAGCAACCTCCAGGGCTGAAAATGAAACCAACACAGAACTGCCAAAAACTGCAATTCTTTGAATGACCACTTGAGGGTGGCTCCAAGAGTGAGTCAATCCCCGTAGAGAACCATGTTAAAATATTAACAGCCTGGTACAAAAAATAATTCTGGTCTCTGGTACCTAATTTCCCTGTTCGTAATAATTGTTCGGAGGGCGAATTATTCTAGAACTCAACTGTTTGATTTTATTAAGGTTTATAGTTATGCATAATTAAGGGCGTGACCACTTTGAGCGACAGGTGGTTGTCATCCGTTGACAAGTACCTACCATGGTGACAATGTTTGTTAGGTAACATAACCATGGCATGACCACAGACTCACAGAGTGCAGGTGTCACTGTCACCATATCAGAGTGTTTTCAGTTCCTGAAAGTTAATTGTAACATTCAGGTCACTTAAATCAGCGTTTGGTTATAGTCAAAGACCCTCTAAGGAATTGGATGTTCAGTTTTTCAGGTAAGTACATTTTGTTTTGTTTTAAGCCTGTATTATGTTAGTGAATATTAGCATTAGCGGTAGTACTATCACAGTTAACCATAGCTGTAAATGTACCGCACTAACCAAGCTTCTGGCTCCAAAAATCCGAGATGGCGACAGCCAAAATGCCAAACTTGAGGCATCAAAACGTGACTCCACAAACCAACAGGTGACTTAAGTTGGTTACATACATTACTTTATACAGTCTATGAGTAAATCTGATATGGCAAAATCTCTGATGGTATATATTGTTGGATCACCCACTCTTAGTGCTAAGGTGGAAGAAATATTTTAAGCCACAATGCAACATTTAAAAAAAAAAAAAGGCATATTTTTCTATATTTCTGGTGGTGCTGGATTCTGCCGTCATACCTCTCTCTAGCTTGTCTGACAATGTGTTTTTGAGATTGTTGTCATGTCATGTTCCCTTTTGAGGTGAATTAGTTCATGGGCTTAGTTGATAACTTGTGGGTAACTGTATGAAAAAATGGAAAATACAATGTCCTTCACGATAACTGTATAACATGAAATCCCACAAAACCCAAAATGCAACACTGGTGATGTGCAGATAAATGCATGTTAATCTGTTCCCTCCTCTTGCTCTCACTCTGTCTTCCCCTTTCTTCAAATCCATTCACACCCCAAATTGCCAGTCTTTTCAAACATCCTTTCACAGAACCATTAGTATGTCTATGATGTATTGTACTGTACGGTACAATACAGGCAGAAATGTAATGTAATGAAAAAAATGAACAGTGGAGCATGAAAGATACAGCATATTACAAGAGAGCATTAGTGAGGATGGAACTGGGATGTGAGGTAGAATGAAATGACATTCATTGATACAATTATTGATCCACTTCTGGTGAGCAGAACTGGGTGCAGAGATATGGGATGCACCTACCTAATAAGCTGGGGTTAGGAAATCTCCACGATTCGTTGTATGTGGAATACTGGGGATGGGAATAAGGACTTCCGGAAAAATCTCCCCCTGAAAGAAAACAAAGACCAAGAAACAGCATGTTTAGAAACAGCAAAGGGAAGAGAGGATGATTCTGTCTGTTTCCTCAGACTCAACTTCAACAACAGGGTCACAAACTGTGTTATGCTATATAAATATTTGTATTCTTGAACAGAATGTTATTTATGTTGCACCTTGATCGCAGAGAAATGATTTCTGATGTATGGTAAAATAACAAGAAACTGGACTGATTGATTCTTTTATTTATTCTTTGAGAAGTAGGGTGCTAAACCTTTGTGTTTAACAGAGCCCTTGACTGTTTTTGAGCCACTGGCCTTTGTAAGAACAATCAAACTGTAGTTGAGTGCTAGCTGAACTTAAAGGTCCAGTGTGTAAGATTTAGGGGGATTTAGTGACATCTAGTGGTGAGGATTGAAGACCAGCTGTCACTTCTCCCAGTTAGATTTCCTTCACTGTTCATTGTTTAGGAGATTTTTACTGGGAGCTGAATTTCATCAGAGGTTTCTTCCTCTCCAAAACAAACAGACCTAGTGATTTACATCCATCACCTGCCAGTGTTTTCTTACCTATTTTCTTACATGACTTAATGTTTGCTTTTTTCTTGTTTTGATGGACCCAGTGATTTAAACCATTAAAAACAGTGAATAAAGCAGTTTCACGTTACAAATCAACGTTTCTGTGATGCTATTTGGCATGTCAGAGATGGGCCATTAGCTTAGCATCTGCTAATGTGTGCACATCTATTTCCTTTGATAACTTCAGGAGGTTTTTAGTGGGAGCCAAATTATCTGCAGAGGTGTCTTCCTCTCCAGAACAAACAGACCTGTTGCTTTGAACTGGTAAGAACACTAAATAAAACAGTTTCACGTTGAAAATAATCCGTTTTTGCAGATGCTCTCGCTGCAGAGGGGCTGCAAACTACAATGGCTGACGCAAAAACATGAACTGTCCTATCTAGAGTCAGATTTTGGTTGCCCGGGCTACTGTTAAAATATGTTAAAACAAATCCCCCTTAATCCTTCACACTGAGCCTTTAAATTTACATTCAAGTGTGATCATTACATCACTGATTATCCTACTTTTGTTTCACTGACTTACTAATGTGTAAATGAAGTTCATGATGCACTTGTGCTCATTGCAAACACTTATCAGGCAGGTAAGGTGATTATATGCCAAGTTATCCTGTTGTTTTACTGGAGTTCTCCAGCTAGAATATTTAGACTAGCTAAACCAGAGAGCAGCTCATAATTATAGTTAAAGCTTTTAATAAGGTGCAGCAATGTTTTGCTCTAAAATGTTAGTTTCTGCACCTAATTAGAAGCTTTGAGTACAAGTACATGCTCTTAGGAGCTTATCCCTCCAGACTACGACTGGAACACTCCAAAAACCCAATCATATTTGTGATGTGATTGTGCATGTAAAAGCAATGAGTTTTTGGTTTAAAAGACAAATGGCAGATTTGTGGTTTAGATCGGAGGACTTGTTCAGATTTCTTTTGCTTCCAGTAAAGCTTTAACCTGCCCTTCAACAGAATGGTTAGTTGAGAGTGACTGAACTGGAGATCTCAGTGAGACTGTAGTGGTCTTCGCATACAGTGGATGATAGCGTAGTTTTTCTCCCTCATTTACTACTTACTGTCTGGGGTCTACTCTTCCTCTTGTCTTCCCCTCCCACTCTTCCCTTCACCCCTTTCTCTTTATTTTTCTCTCTCGTCCTCTGGCCCGCCTGACTACAGCCCGCCCGTCACCCTTCACATCAAAACAACATTCTTCCCCATTTCTTCTCCTCTTTTTTTTTTTTTTACATCTCTCCGCTGACTTGCTCCCTTTTTTTCCCCACTCTTTTGCTCTTTCTTTCTTTCTTTCTTTCTTTTCTCCTGAACCTTCACTCCTCCCGGGGGATCCCTCTCCCATAGCTGACAGTCACACACCCTGATGCCCCCTCCTTCCAAACCCCCCCCCCTCCTCTCTCCCTCTCGTTCTGTCGGTTCTGCCTCACTGCTCCTCTACACCCCCTCTGAGTGTCAGCCCCCCTGCTGCAGAGAGAGAGACAGAGAGAGAAGAAGAACAGCAGAAGAGAGTTGCTTGCTTAATGAAGGTATGATATTAGACAGAGCGGACAAAAAGGAGGATAATTTGCCTGAGAAGTGCCGAGATAAAACATGGCGAAGCTGGAGAAGCAAAGTTGGGAGATTATCTCCTCCACTCACTCCAGTCAGCTCGAGGATTCAGGCAGCTTCGAATATTCACTGAGAAGAATTTAGATGTCGAGACTATGTGTGTGTGTGTGTGTGTGTGTGTGTGTGTGTGTGTGTGTACAAACCAACAAGTTTTCTTTCTCGCGCTCCCCTTTGTGTGTGTGCTTATGTGTGTGTATGTTTAGCTGCGTCTGTCAGGTGGGGTCGGGATGCGGTCTCCATGGCATCCCCGGGTGCGAACATCCTCCCCTTGTCATCACCGTGGTGACGGCAACGTGTCAGGTTGTTTAGGAGGGGAGGGGGAGGAGGAGGGAAGGAGGGGAAAGGAGGCTCAGGGGTCTCCCTCGTGTAGCTCAGTGTCAAGGTCGCGCACACACACACACACACACACACACACACACTGTCAAAAACAAACACACACATGCGCACAAACAATGGCATGCCGGCACACACATAAACATACACCAAGCCAAACACACACACAAATATACTGTCAAACCTGAGGACAGGACGGGGTGAGTGCAGGGGGACAGGGCGACAGGGTTACCCATCTTTAGACGTGCTGTTCCTACATGTCCACTGAGAGTGTGTGTGTTTGTGTGTGTCAGCCTGCAAAGTGTGTGTGTCACAGACTGAATGATAGGGGATACACAGAGACAAGAACTTGTAAACAACATTGTTTTGACTTTGTTTCACTGCTGTTGTTGCTTTTGTGTTTCAGCCTTTATTTCTCTGCAGTGTACAATGACCACGACCACCACTGCACGACCGAGAGAGAGAGAGAGACAGAGAGAAAGAGAGAGAGAGAGCAAGAATGGCGGTCCAGGATTGAAACACAAAAGCGGCGTAGAAGGCGGAGTGGAAGGGAATGAATGAATTAGTCGTGGGTCACTGGTGATTCTCATTAAAAACAAATTACTAATGTTGAGGAGGGACAGCTGTGCTACTGTGGCTGGTTTCTAATGATACACAGAGAGACACACGCACAAACACACACACACATATATATAGATGCACACAAACGCACACACATGCCACCCCCTGGGAGCACTGTCAGCCACAGTGTAGACAGACAAGAAGGAGGAAGTGGCAAAGCTAAGTACACCCCCTGCAGATGACACACACAAACACACACATCCAATGGGAATTCAAACAGATATGTACAGTTACAGATCTGCTGATATGATGGGTGACGAGAGATGACAGAATTAGTGTAAAAGAAAGCCAAGGACGATGGCACCTTTGGCACTGAGAAACAGGAACATTGAAACTGTCAGTGTGTGCGTGTGTGTACTTACCAGGTACCATGCCAGTGAGCGAGGGGGTGGAGTAGCTGCCCTGTCCAGTAGGAGGGACATGAGGAGGGTAGCCTGGCAGAGTGGTGCTGGCTAGGTCTCGACCTGTAACACACACACACACATACATATTCAATCATTAATACTTTTTTGCAATCAATATTTTCATCAGTGTTGATATTGTTATTGTCATTATATCTGTCCCTCCTAGCTCTTCTCTGTCTGCTTTCTCTGCATGCTAAATTGTTATCGTCCTATATGGAAGCTGCCCAGAACCAACTAATGTATGGCAACAGCTGACAATTATTTTCATCATCAGTTTATTTACTGACCCAAGTCCAAGATAATGTCTTGCTGCGTGCAACCAATGGTTTAACACCCAAAAAGATTTACATTATTTACCATAAAATGTAATAAACTAGATAGTATTCACATTTGTGAACCTCTTTTTTTTGCCATTTTTCGCTTTTTATTCATTTTTTAAATTTAAAACGTATTTAACTAGGAGAATTTTAAAATCTCCTTTATGAGAGTGTCCTGGCCAGACAAGATGCAGCACATTTAAATAAAGTTTCAGACAAACAACATATAAAAGTTGCAGACAATGAAAAATAAAATTCCAAAATCACAGCATACCAAAAAATCAGGTCAACATCTCCTTAGAAACATAGAGGCACATGATCAGTAAAAGTATCTAAAACCTGATGTATCTTTATCCAACTCTTTAAATCTATTTCTGCTTTGACATGATAATGTCATGTAAGTGTTGCTGTTGCTGCTGTTGGTCTTCAGTCCATCGGCTAATCAATTAATAGCCTAATTGTTGCAGCACCAGATGGAAGTTTAACATAATTGTGTTTGCTGAATTATGATTCTTTTTTTCACCATACTGTTTCAAATTTTACATATGACCCTTTGTATTCGTAACATTTGTATAACAAAGGAACCATCAACAGGTTTTAACATTAGTGTATCACTGTCAAATTAAGTTGATGTACAGCCTAGTTCGGTCTAACTGCCATAAATATGGAGATCATAGTGACCATGGAGACTTAAAAACTCTGAATGATGCTCTAAAACTGGTTAACAAAGACAAATCACACTCAGTAATGGACTTTTAAAGGAGAACATGTTCAAAACGAACTTAAATGTAATAGATTTGTGATTGTGCTGATTTTAGTAAAAGAAAAGCTACTTAACTAGCCTTTATCAGAGCCAACATTCAGACATCATAGCAGGAAAAGCACTGGTGTAATTAACAACATTAATGGTGGTTCTGTTCCATTGAAGTGTCCCAGAAAGCAAGCTTTGACATCTGAATAGACTGCAGATATAATTCATGTGAACAGTTACACCTGTTATATTATGAAGACAACCAAATTACCCAAAAAATGTTATTATACATTTCTGCCAACCACAGATATACTGCAGTTGTCCGTTATTATGCATCAGAATCTTTACGTTTCAACATTGCTGTGGTTAATGTGTGATTAAGGCACAAAAATCATTTGGTTATAGTTCGGGAAAAAATCATGTTTGATCTTAAAATACCCCATTTGGGGTGCACTATCCCTGGAGGAACAGCAGCAATGTCTTGGCAGAAAACATCCGATTTTCTTGCCTAAGAAGCCACTGGAAACACAATGACTCCCTATAAAGACCACCCATTTTTTGGGGCATCGGTGGCTTAGTGGATAGAGCATGCACCCCATGTACAAAGGCTTTGTCGTTGCTGCAATTACCTGGGTTCAATTCCAGCCTGCAGCCCTCTGTTGCACATTCCCTCTCTCCCTCTCCCCCTTTCACAATATACTGTCCTATCTATTAAAGGCAAAATTAAAACAACCAATTTTGGTGTTTGTTGGTCTCAAATAGTGGTCTGCAGCTTGGCAGATGTCTCACCTAGGTGTCACGCCATCAACCATCCCCTCAACCTCCAGATGACAAAGACAACTCATATATATTATTTTACTTTATAAACACTGATATGATACGTATGAAACATAAATGTAATGTATTCATGGTTTGCAGGAACGTACAATGCCAATATTTTCTTGTGGTGACTAGGTTGATATTAAGTACTCAAAATAAAGGTATAATAACATTATACTGTTGCCTGAAATATCACCTTAACCTCCACACCTCCTGCAGGATCTGTACTGAAATATTCATGCAGGAGCACATTTAGGATGTCTTTCTTTCTTTTGTTTCTTTCCTCCTTGTTTTCCATCCGCTGACATCTATTAATTTACCAACTCCCCCTTCTCTCGTTACCACCATCTCCCCCCTCCTTCCTCTGTCTGTCACTTGGTGGATAGGATATATAACTGCATTAGACTACATGACAGTGTGTCGGCCCAAATCATTTCTCTATGTTTGCACGCAGTAGACATTGGGAGTGCGTGGAGAGGGAGCCCTCCATTCATCATCATCACACATACACACACACACATGCATCGACACCCTCCTCCTACCCCCCCTGCACACACACATTTATCATCATCATAAACAGCTCAGATGCTAACACCATCAATCCCATTCACTTCCCCTCCACTTAACCACCACTAACTAACTGAGAGGAGGAGCAGGAGGAGGAAGAGATGGGAAATAGAGAGGAGATCATAAAAGACAGGGAGAAGGGAAAGATGGGGAGAGACAAAACAGAGACAGCAGGGAGGACAAAGAGGAAGAGTGGTACAGTGGTGGAGTCAATGCATTTAGTTACTTTCTATTACAGGGGAATAGAAGTAGACCTAGAAATTGGCTGTGCTTATGTATCAGCCAATATTAGTTTATGACAAATATATCGACACTGGCATACATATTAGCAGAAAACTGAAGAAAAACTGTAGTAATTAAGATAATTAAGAAACAGAATTGCCTATGCATTTATTTTTCAGTTTTAAAATTTCCTATTCAGAGTAAATCTTGATCCCAGGTCAGCCATGCTAGCAGCTCTGTGGGACTACAGAGTGGTGCAGGAATGAGTCCTAAAATCTGGAAATGAGTGAGCATTTTTTCACTCCTGATTCCCTCGTCTCGAGGTCAATGTTTTTTTGGATGTTTGTTTGTTTGTTTGTTTTAATGGGGTTTGATTAGATGCCTGAAATAAGGTTTGTGGTTAACAAGAGCTTAAGAGACTTCCACATTTTGTACAACCTAAAACAAGGCAGTAAAGACCCCACTCGTGAATTTTTGGCACCTGTAAGTGTCTACAAAAATGGCGAGTACTAACCAGTAGCTCAATGAGATCCACAGAATTTCATCATGCCAACCATGACTTTACAGCCTCACTGTGGTAAGGAAGTCACGCTTAAAGCCTAACGTTAGCTTTTTACTTCTGGTGTTTGCAATCTCACTTTAAAAAAATCATAAAAGAGGTGTTAATTTGTGAAGATTATCTTGCTGTATCATAAACTTTTAGACGCACATTTGTTTCCCTGATGTACTCTATAGCAACATTAGTGCTTTACACTAAATGCTAATGTCAGCATGCTCACAACGATAAAGCTAAAAACGCTAATGTGAAGCAGGTACAATATTTACCATGTTTACAATCTTAGTGTAAGGTGGTAGCCTGCTACTATTTGCAAATTTGCACTTAACACAAGCTGAGGCTGATAGGACTGTCATTAGTTTTGCAGGTATTAAAACAAGTATTAAGTGACGATGGTAGAAGATAAAGAGTCATCAACAAGTCATCATAAAAGGAAATAACCATTCAAATGTGGTCAAGAGATATACTCAAAACCAGAAATATTAACCTCATGGTGGCACTAGAGGAAAGTTCAGAGGATCACAAGTCACAAGGATACATCCTCAGGGGACCATGGATGTCCTTACAAAATTGAGATGTAGAAAAGCAAAGTCACTCCCCTTCTGGTGGACCACCATGGGACCTTATTTCGGAAAAAATATGTACAGTAGTTTCTAGTGAGAGCTTCTTGATCTGATGAATTATGTTATTAATTACACATACAATGTCTTTTTAATTTGAATCATAGCTAAGTTGCCTAGCTAGCTAGCTGGTATCAGTGACGTATATGTACTTAACTAAGCAGTTTCACACAAAACTAAATGATACTATGACAGATCCTTGACACACTGTGACTTTCTTGACTTGCAAAATTAAATTGACAAACATATTTGTAATTTATGACACAATTCAAATGGGATCAAAAGATTACTTTTCTCTCACCATTGAGAGACATATCTTTTTCTGGACTAAGGGGCCCATGGGGACACTGGAAGGAGAGAGACTACATCTCTCTATTGCAGTCTGGACTAAAGTAGTGGAACAACAAACCAACATTGCCGTCTTATGAGCCATTTCTATTGCATAGCTAAAAATCACAATTACGGGATCCCCGTCAAAAATGTTTGTTTATGTTATGTTTTTAAAAAATGACATGGCAGATTCATTGTGTCAGTTTTTTTAAATTCTGAAATATCAATTTTGGTCAACCTCAGGCTTTACTGGAAAATAATAAAAATCAAGGAGCACAGAAACGGAAGTAGGAATGAAAATAATAAGAGGAAGAGAAGTAAGCAAAGAAAACATGTTGTTACTAATCAACCGAGACTTCGACATCTCATCTGCTCATATTTCTGTCCTCTTCACTTAATATTTGCCTCCTCACCTCCCTCCCTACTTGTGTTTCCCTCTCACAAATCCCCCTCTCTACTCCAGCCTCCTCTGTCCCTCTCCACCTCCTCTCTCCTGTCTCAGTGTAGTAAAGTTTTTCTCGGTGTTTGACGCGACAGCGAGGCATTAGTGCAGACGGGCTACTCATCCGCTCAGGGTCAGTGCACAGGGCAAGGAGGAGAGGGAGGAGAGGGTGGAAGAGAGGAGAGATGGACTCTCTACAGCCCAACTTAGAGGGGGCAGACAGGGCCAGATCCTCTGAGGTGTGTGTGTGTGTGTGTGTGTGTGTGTGTGTGTGTGTGTGTATGTGTTTCTTTGTCTGTGCACGCACTGTATTTGTGCATATGCATGCCAGTTGTGTTGATGTATCTGTTCTCCACAGCTTTGCCGTAGAGGTCAACGAACAAGTACAAGTCTCCTCCGTGCTCACTTGCAGCTACATGAACACAAATCCTCTGCCTCCCTTACTCTTTTCCTGTCTCCCTATCTGACTCTTCCACATCAAACAGCCATCAGAGCAACATATGTCAAACCTGGAGGGAATCGAGTGTGTACAGTGTGTCCCTTTGCACTCAAGTAGACTAGGTGGAGTTCAGGGTAAAATGCCCTACAGATTTGGAAAGGCCTCAGAAAGGAAGATTGAATGTGTAAATGTTGCTCTACAGTGTGTGTCCAGAGTATCAACACGTCAAGGGTGCAATAACATTGCGTCAAACACACAGACGTCTGATCCCCTAGAGGGAGCTCTATTCTGAGGGAAGAGACAGGCAAGGAAATGCATGCATAATATTAAGAAGGTGTGCGTGTATGTGTGTGTGTGTGTGTGTGTGTGTGTGTGTGTGTGTGTGTGAATATGAATGTGTGTGTTTGCATGCATAAGCAGAAATGGAAATTTTATCTCTCTCTCTTTTTCTCTGTCTCTCTGTCTCTCTCTCGACTTGAGCAGGTAATATTCCTCAGTGGTTTAAAAGGGCAAAAAAAGAGCCCATTCCCAGATATCCCAAATTCCCAGCTCTATGATTCCCCTCATTATAGATGGGAACGTCGAAGCCTTGTCCAAGTGCTCCCTGGTCTGCTCTTAATTAACTACTGGCTTTCCCAGTGCCCCTAAATGGAGGCACAGGAAGAGACGGGGCTCTCACTTTTCTCCTCTTTCCTTCCACCTCTTTTCCTCCTTTCCTCTGGGTTTCTCACCCCTCCTAAGATCCACAGCACTGATCTCTTTAAACAGGTTCAATCACTTAGAGTCCATGTAGCTGCTGAGGTAGACTTAAAAGGCATTTGGCTTCGTGTGTTTGGAATGTGAATCACTGTATTTTTTTATGTAACACTAAAGCCAGCCCTGCACACTGTAGGCTTGATTTTTCAGTTGATTTATGAGTAATTTCTCTTGCATGTAGTGATATGGAAGTAGTTGTCATTACACAGCCAGAGTGACAAACTTTATATATATAGAATATATCTGCATCTGCAAACCACAGACACGTTACATCTCTATGTTATTGTGTAACGCAGTGGTTCCCAACCTTTTTCCTTAAAGGATCCTTTTTTCTATCATTGAGTGACAACCCCTGACTTAAAAAACATATTTTATGGATGCTTCATATTTCATTCAATGCATAACAATAACAGTATAGAACAACTAATAAACTGTACAACTAATCCAAACAGTGAAAGCAATAACTGCAGGAAGTTTGCAAAATGAACGATTTGGATGAATTTTGATCAGATTATTTGGTTTGAATGTTGAATCAGAGATGAGTTTCCTGATATTTTTAGCAAATTCTTACACAGTGCTCTGTCTGAAGTATGTATTTTATTTGTATTTTTTAACAATCATACAGTCCTTTATTGACAAACTCTGTGTTTTCTTCACTCTGGCACTTAGCCATTGTTTAATTAGCTCTTTGGTTCTTACAGGACGAGGCTGTCTAGCAGCGAGTGAAGGCTCTGTGAATATAGGTTGTGTTGAAGTCTTCATTGGACTCTTAGGCTGTGAGATTTTTTTAAGCGTATATCTCAAATTATAATGTAACTTCAAAGATAACACTTTCATTTAGTTTTCTTCACAGAAAGGCATGAAATGCTAAGATATCAGGACCCCCAGGTTGGGAACCAGTGATGTAGTGGATATGTTAAAACTTTATGTTTCAACAACACAGAGGTTAACATGTGGTTAGGTTTAGGCAATAAAACCATTTGATTATCAAAAGTAATGTATTGGCTTAAAATACGAAGTTTTGGGGACACAATCCCTGCTGGAACAACCACATTGTCTGTTAAAAAAAAGACAAAAACTAATTTTCGTGGCACTATCCCTGCTGGAAAAACAGCAGCAAGTCACTAAAAACACCCATGTTTAGTGTGTGAATACTCGTCAAAAAACAAAACAAAACAGCAATGACTCGTTAAATCAGAACCAGTTTTGTTGTTTTTTGGTCTCTCGGTCTGTAGCTTAGCAGGCGTCTTGCCTAGATGGCACGCCACCCAACGTCCCCTCCACCTCCCAGTGATAAAGTCAGCTCATATACCAGCTACTTTAGAAACATTGATGTGATACATATGAAATGTATAAATGATTGTTATTTGTGGTTTGCAGAAATGTAATCATTAATTTGCAAAATTTTTGGGCCTCTTACCATAGATCGAACTATGACTATGCCCCGCAGATGAAACACAAAATGCACCCTAGAACTGTTAAATTGGATTGAATACAAAGCAGTGTATACACATTCAGATTCATTACCAAAAAGGCAAAAACAATAAAAAGAAAAAGCTGCATGTACACTGAATAGCTTCCAAAAAAATTTAGTTCAGCTACATCAGGTTACCTGATGATGTCGAAACAGTGTAAATCGAATTAGTGTGTGTACATCTTTTTAGTCAGGGAACAAAAACTCACATTCACAGCAGCAGTGCAGTTATTAGCTGGATGTCTTTCTTACCTGGAACGAGTGAATAGGACTGTGGACCTGACACGCTGGCTCCTAACTCCGCCCCTGTACCAGGATTGGCCAAACTGTTCTTCATCTCGTCCAGCCCACCAGCTAGCGAGGCCATGGCCGAATAATCTGACGTCTGAGCAGAGACAGGAAGTGGAGAGAGAAAAGAGCAGAACAGAAAGAACAAATCATGACGTTTTCTGATACAACGTGAATATACTATAGTGCTGGATGTTGCTCACAGCTGTGATCAATCTGTTTGTTCTATCCTGCTACATTTCCAACATCCTGCCCCTTCCTCATAGCAAAGAAGCTTTAGTATGAACACACACGCACACACACACACACACACACACACGTACGCATGTACGCACGCACGCACACACAAACACACAAACACACAAACACACCTACAGTTGAGAGTTTATTGATCTGTTTACAAAGACAGGGATTTACTGTACAACCAAGTCCAACAGTCTATAACCACAGGATCATCTCGCTCTTCCTCTTCATCTCTCTCTCTCTCTTTCTCTCTCTAACGCACACACACACACAATACACATCTTACACACACACAGTGGCATCACATAGACCATGGCTAACACAAAGCCTCTTGTCTCCCCAGATACCAACAACAATAAGAACTGTGATCATCTCAACACACGTACCTACAGTCTCTCTCAGTGCACTTAACACACACACACACATTCTACAGGAGCTAAAAACATATAGAGAAAAGGAGACTGAGGTGACAAAGCAATATCTTATTGTTGTCTAGGTGTACGGTTTTTCTCTGTTAAAAAGGTTAAAAAGTATCAGCAAGAAAGAGGTCACAATATTACAGTAACATACATGTGAGAATGATTTTTGAGTGAGTATTTTGTTAATATTTACAGTATGTTTGGTTTATTTTACCTTATGATTATCATTTTGGTTTGTCATCTGGAGAATGATATTATTTGTGATTAAAATAACAACCTAAAAGAAGTTCATTGTTTATTTCCTTACCCCAGATACCAAATCAAACGTCTTCTAATTTTACATGTGCCTACTCGTGTGCCACAAATTTGAAAATATGAAAAAAAAAAAGGCTGAAGATTTTACAGTCTGTTTATGCAACATAAATGTATAATATGTATTCACTACAATATCAGTCATGACTTTTGGATTAACAGAGACTGTGCAGACTGAATTTGAAGTGGCCTCTATAACAACTGGACAAAGAATTCTCTCACACACTCTCTAAATGCAGACAGATAGATGGATAATAGAAACTGTCTATTCACCTGTGTCTGACCCTAACACCAAGCCATGAACCATCCATCCTCATCTCTCTGCCAGATCTGTGCGTGTGTGTGTGATGATTTAGAGTGATTGTACTGACACTGTTGACCAACTCTATATAGATTAACAACAGATTTTCGGGGCTGCTACGCTTATGAAGCGACCTGCTTGCTGACTGTAGGCTATGTATATTTATGTGGTCTTCCACACTTGTATATCTGTGTATACAGAACAACAGAAGAAAGCAGTCAAATGCAAAGACTTAATCCTCTCAATTTGCGCACAGATGTAGTTACAAAGAGGCAAAAGTAAGGCTGAAAACTAGTTGGGAATGGGAACAAGCTTGGCAAACTAGCATCAGCTATAAAAACTATGACGCTTGCATCGGATAGCTGTTTTCAGTTTGTCTATGCTGTATCTGTCCATATCAAATAAACCATGATTAATAAAATAAAGTAAGCCACAGCTAAACAGCTGCTAATGTAAAACAAAAGTGGGATGTTCACACCAGAGGTGCAAATTGTAAATCACTTAGTCCATTCCAGTTGTTTTTTCCAGTTTAGATTAAAGGTTTGTAGACAGTGACAACATAGTCAGTTTACTTTTCTTTAAGTTAAGTCATTACAAAATAAATGTAGTGTACTTCTGAAATGCTACAACTTACTTTGTGCAGACCCCCTCCTTTTTTTCTATGTGTGTGTGTGTGCGTGTGCGTGTGCATGTGTGTACACTAATGACAGCAATCAGAATTTCCTTTAGGTGATGAGGTGAGAGTTTTGCACTGACCCTTTTAATACCTCTGCATCTGTGTGTGTATGTGTGTGTGGAGGTGTAAGTGTAGGCGTGTGTTTGTGCTCACTGACCTCTTAAACACCCCTGTGCTCGTCAACACACAACACAACCACTGGACTGTGACCTGCCAAATAAGAGCTTACCCACTACACTACACACACATCTTTCTCTCTCTCTCTTTACACTTCAGACACATTTTTAAGCCGTCTTTTCTTTTTCAACGCCCCTCTCTCCCCCCTCACACATCACACCTGTAGTTTTTTTTTTTCACCCAATCATACATGCTATCCCCACACCCCTCTTCCCCCTCTTGGCCGCTCTCTGTCTTATTATAATGGTGTCTAATGTGTCCATGTATCCATGTAGATGGGGGCCAGGCAGCAGCAGCGGCAGAGAAGAAGGGGTCTGCCGTGGTAATTGGCCATGATGAAGTTTGGCCAGTGGGGTGACAGGCCCGCTAAGGAAGATGGATCATTCTCATTCGGCCCCGTAAATGTTGTCAATTCCACCACTCATACAGCGCCATCAGCCCTCATCAAAGAGGAGGGACGCAGCTGTGGAGGGGCTGGGGTTTGAGGGGTGGTGGAGGTGGTGGTAGCAGAGGTGGTGGGGGGAGTTTTACAGGGCAGGATAGAGGGTTACAAGAAAAGGTGGCAGGGGGAGCTGGACCTGGGGCAGGAAGTCAGAAGGAGTGAGAGAATGTAGTTTCCAGTTATAAAGGAGGGCCGAGATAGTATAGAGCTGACTGAGAGAAACGGGGTCATGCAAGACATGAGGACAGATTGGAGCTGTTGAATAAATTAATGGAGGAGAGAAAATAATTTGGAAAGAAACAAAGAAAGCAAGAGAGCTAAAAATGCAGCTGTGTGGTATAAAAGTTGAGGTTTGAGACATCAGTCTGTAAAGTTGCAAGAAAGTGCACAAATGCTGTTGGATTACTTTGTAACCTTATCAGCATAATTGTACTCTTTATGTCATGAATACTGGGAAAATTCCACTGTTGTAAACTCCTTGTTAAATACTGTGCAGTGTTTTGGCGTTTATAAACCTTCACTTGCCCCATCTGTCATATTTATTAAAGGTCTTGTGTGAAGGATTTAGTGGCATCTAGTGGTGAGGTTGCAAACTGCAATCAACTGAAACTTCTCCCATGTAGGAGAACTAAGGTGGCCAATGTGAAAACCATAATGGCCCTATCAAGAGCCAGTGTTTGGTTTGACCGTTCTGGGCTACCATAGAAACAACATGGTGGACTCCATGGATGAAGACGCGGTTAATATGCAGATATGCTGACAGCTCATTCTATGGGAACAAAAACACAACAATTCCTAGTTTCAGGTGACTGTATACTAATGAAAGCATAGTTATTAATATTATATTTCATTTCAGCCAATATATACCTATAGATTAGCTACTGTTGTTTGATTTCAGTTCTGCACAGAGGCCAGGAATGGATGATCTGCATCATTTGTAGATTTTCATTTCAGACACCAAAGCATAAAATCCATAAACAATATGAACAGTATAAAAAACAAACTGTAAAAAATACCTGCTGTGTTGAACAAAGTACGCTAGGCAACGTTTGGTTCCAAGATGTACAATACAACAACAGACAACTTTACAACTTTTTTCCCTCAGCATTTCCAAATGGTGTTACTGTTGGCGCAGCTGTCTCAAAGACAACCAGATCGCTTTCTGTTTTCCTCAGAGCCTTGCAACTACATCATTTTCCACAATTACTTTGGCTGTTCCATCATCCGCCATTTCTGCTACTGGGGATAGTAACTGCTAGGAACCTACGTTAATACTCTTTAGGAACTGGGGATAGCTGCCGATAGCTATCAGGGAAAACAAAAGCGCTATCCTCTTCCTGTTTTGGTTTGACAATGGTTGATGCACCTCCTTTGTGCCGAGCCTTTACTTCATAATGATAAGTTAAAACATTTGCCTATTTCCACTTTAACAACAAAAAAGGTGCTAAACTAACAAGTCACATCCTAATGATGGAAAATGACAACATATTTGACTACTCCTTCAACATTACAGCATGTGGCTACCACTGTTGTTTCCTCTCTCTCTCATCCACTCACTCACTTACACACAGCAGGTTGGTCCACTGACTCAGATCTGGGAAGGTAATGGTTGGGTCCAAATTTCACATCAATAACAGATGAGCCCTAATCGGCCCTCTGACACACACACACACACACACACACACACACACACACACACAGCCTGGCCCTGTTGGCTTGAACCATTTGCATAATAGTATTTCCCTTTTCCTCCATTCCCCAAATAGCTCCCGATTTCTCCATCTCTCTCTCTCTCTCTCTCCCTCCCTCTTTCTCTCTATCTCTCTCTCTTGCTCCACATTGTCTTGTGTACTCCTGATGGAAAAAAGGCTTGACTATAAACAAATACAATTCCCTCAGAGGCCCACAAACTGAGACAGGGATTGTGGGGAAGGAATTCATCTGCCCTCAAACTGAGCGTGGCAGCAGTGGGGAGGATATTCATTTCCTGACGAGCCAGATAGACCTCAACTCTGGGGAGAGGCTATAAAAGTTTATACATTTTGAACGACAAATTGGGCTAACATTTCTAATCCATGAATGATTTATCAACCTGGATTTACTGATTTAATTGTTTCTGATGAAATATTGTTGTATTGATGTGCAATGCCTTTGCTGTTGTGTGCCTTTATTAAGAGCCGTAAAAGCGGTGTTTCCTGCAGCTTTTTAGCTACCAAATGTGGGTGTTTTTTAGCGACCCATGGCTGTTTTTTCAGTGGGGATTGTGGCACTAAAACTAGGTATTTTAAGGCAAAACATGTTCTTTTACTAACCATAACCAGGGGGTTTTGTGCCTAAACCAAGTGATGTAGTGGTAGCTATTGAAGCGGGTGTATTACTAAGTGGATGGATAGGTTTCTGAGGAGAAAGTGGGTATATTCTGCTATAAATTTCAACAGCTTTTTGGCTGATAGGTGGGTATACTGTAAACTGGCAGAAAAGAGGTGGATATACCCTGTATACCTGTGTATACCCTCCACTACACCACTGCCAAAACCTTAGCAAACATTAACAACAACGTCAACATATCCACTACGTGCAAATGCAGTGTTTCGGTACTCTGAAGAAACATACAATGCCAACTTTTCTTTTGACAATTGGGTTGCCATCCTTTAGGGGAGATTACTGTTGACCTCTCTGCTTCTTTTTAAGCTTTTTGAATGGCGAGAATGACATTTACTTTCTCTTTTTCTTTGTCTGTCCCAGTGCAGGCACACTGGTTGGTGCTGGGGTGGGCATTTGGACCCAGGGCAGCATGGATGGGTGGGGGCTCCATCAGCCCTGCTGATTTATCACCTGGGTAATAGGAAGTGATTGAAGGGAAATTCAAATGAACTCTCTCTGACAGGCACACATGCAGACACACATACAAGCACGCACACACAAATTAATAGTGGGGCTTAATAGACTACAGGGAGAGAGGGGGAACAAGAGGCGGAGAGGGAGATGAGATAAAAGGATGGCTTGTTAGGGAAGAAAGATAAAGAAAAAGGTCTGAGACAAACAGGATAGAAGAGTTAACTATTGGCGACAGATAAAATAAGATTTGCTTGTGAGGAACGTGAGCAATTTTATTTTTTATCTATTCAAGTGGGATGACGGGGGAAGAAATAATGAATGAGGCTCGTGTTTCAGTGCAAGAAAGCGAAAAGATAATGAGGGGGTTGAAATAACCGCTGAAATTACAGTATATTAGTATACCATTATAATATACTGTTGGTACCTGAAATTGAGCCACTTGCACCTCTGTTACTCTCCTGCCTGCTTGTGCTCCATCCTTTTCTTTTTCTTCTCACAAATACACACACATACACACAAATACACTAACACTCACGTCAAAGGCACCCTCACACCCTGCAGCAGCACCACCAGCGACAGCAGGGCCAAGTGGCATCTTTAAGGAATGTCAGTCAGAACACAGCGTGACCCTCCTTGACCATAACCTCACCAGCACTGTCTCACACACACACACACACACACACACCTCAGCCCACATACCACAGAGGCTGAGCTGTAGCTGTCAGTGTGTCAGTGTTAAGGGTATGACTGTCAATCATTCCCTCTGGGAATGCAGGCTTGAAAAAAGGGGGGTGGTCGACTAGACAGGATGAGAGAAGGAAGTGGAGGTAGAGAGAAAGTGTATGTGTGCGTGTGTGTGCACCTCTTTGTAATCACAATGCAGCATCCCAAAGCCAGTTTGACCCCAGGGCGACCCCCACTTTAAAGCCCCCATCCCCGACCCAGTGGCTTGACCGGGCTCAGAGAGGACACTGACCTATGAATCATGGGTATTATAGTCTTGAGTCGTAGTCTATAGAGCTACTAGAGCCAATCCCTGTCGACCTCTCGCCCTGTGCCACTCAACGCCCCATGTTGGTCAGAGGGAAATGAATGGGCTAAAAAGCAAAACTCTGCCCTCAAGGTCTAAGGCTGTAGCCTATATGTGACTCCATATACTTCTACTCCTTTAGAGTGTGTTTGTCCTCTTGCCCTTGACTTTGACTGAATAAATAAACCTGAAGTAGGGATGTCTTTAAAGGTTGTGGAAACAAAAGTGTCATTTTGAGACATTGGCAAAATATTCCTGTAATAATGACCGGAGGGCTGCAGATTAGAGGACATCTGAGAAAAGGAAGAGAGAATACAAATGCTAGCTTGTTGTCATTTTGTTATTCGGCGTTCTACTTACACCTGTCTATTTCACTCAGATTTACATTATCTTACTGCGGGGAAAGGGCGGGAGGTCAATTTAGATGCAACATTAAGACACAAAGACAAACCCTTTCTCGCTTGTGTTTTTCTCTCACAGGCAAACAACACACACATATGCAGCACATTCCCAAGATGCGTGCAGACGGCTTCTTTGCCATCCCTGAGCAGTAGGAAGTGAGGTCATAATGAGAGCTGGGTCAATATGCTCATTAACCCCTGCAGTGTATGTGGATTATAGGAACATCAATAGGCCTGACTGGGTCTCAGTGCAGCCATCACAATGTCTATCAGACCACAGAAGCTCACAGCGGTCTGTCAGACTGACAGAGAAACACGACTTGATGCTGACATTTGCAGATCAAAAAAAAAAAAAAAGAACATTAAGGAAGCAGAAGAAAAAATCTATCAGGATGAATGCAATGATTTTGCATAGTTTCAGAAATATAATTAGGCATATGTAAATTAGATTTTTATTATGCAATCTGACTGCATTTCTTCAGGATTGACATGGCATGGCAAGGCATAGCAGGCAGGACAGGCTGTTAGCTAAAAGCAGAGACAAGCATTTCATCTGGCACCAAAGATCAAAGATATGGCACAAAGAACTAAAGTTTGTCAAGACTGGTTGTTTATCTGTTAGTTGTCTTAATTAATTTACGTTTCCCAATAACCTTGAGGCCACAGGTCAATAAAAATTAAACATACACAACATATTTGTACCAGATTTGTTGGTACACCATGGATGCAGCTAGTATTTACAATATAGGAACAGCCACAAGAAATCACATCCTTTACGCCGAGGGGGAAAACAAAGCATTGCTACCAGGCAGGTTGCGTGACTTTCTGCATGTCAAATAAACTTGAAAATCCAGAATTTAAGGGTATTTTTCAACCTGAACCCTGTTTTCCAATGTTTTGTGTCTGAAGTACTAATGGGCACAATATTTCTTTGAAACTGGTCCAGTATTGAACGAAAGCAACAGCAAGGCTGTAGTGTAAAGACTTTGCACGGTAAATTTACATCCATTAAAAGTGCTTGTTTTTGCCACTGACAGGCTAAGATTGTTATGACAAGTGTCTGACAACATTATTGAAAGGACCCTACAAAGATAAAGCTTTTTTATGAAGAATAAGCCCCTTTTTGTTTGTCCAGAAACAGCCCCAAAATGGATATCGTCAAACACACCAGACTCCATTTAAATAAACAATAATATTATCATTGTAAAACACACTTATTCAAAGACAACAGAAAAAAAAAATCACAGAAACCATCTTGGTCTGCCATTCCAGTGTTTCAACAATGAGCAACTCTGGTTTGGTTGAAATAAAACCCTAATTCACCCAGTTAGATGTGAAAATAAGTTGATTTTACACAAATTAAAACTACTGTTTACTTAAATGGAGTTTGGAGTGTTTGGTAATGGCAATTTTGAGGCTGTTTCTAGTTAAACAAAAAGGATCCAACGCTTTATCCAAACTTTCAAGGACCTGCTGTTCGTGAGGTTGCAAATTCTTCCGTGATAATGTTGTAGCACATTGTCAAAACATAGGGTAATGGCACTTAGTAACATCAGCGCTGCTATATTGTCTCGAAAGGTGCATGGAATTCATAAAATATGCTAGTCTATTACATCATAGTATTAATAGCTGTATGTTGCTAATATTATGGTGAGTTTAATCAAACACATCTATGGTAAATGTAATAGTATCTGTTATGTGAGGTGAAAAACTGCGCTTTCCCAGAAGTTTCAGGCTGGTGTAGGACTGTTCTTCCCCCTCGCCGATAGGTATCATGAATAAACTGAAAATTTACCTGCCACAAACAAATGACAATAACTTGGGAATAAAATCACTATAAAAGTATTGGCAACGTTAGCGACGTAAGCATGTGAAATCAGCTTTTTTACTTATCAAACCCAAAATAGGGGGTTTGGGATGGAAAAGCAAACTGGATGGGTGCACAGCTAAACAGCATCTGCGGTGGTGCCGTGGCAATGTAGGAGTGGTTCCACACAAGAAAAAGGAATGAGTGACCCTGAAGGTGTACACTACTAAATTCAGTGGCCAGCTTTTAGTCTATAGTGGCCACAGCCATCACTGGCCACCCCTTCACCTCACCTCTGCCTCTGTCAGGCTCCTTCATCTGTTTTTAATGGAAGGTTTTCTCCTGCATTAATCGTTCATTAGAGCACCCTAAAGTTTTTTTGACCTTCAAACTATTCCCAAACTCAGCCTCAGCCCAGAGCCTGCATGGTGCCACGCCCTTACCTTGCCAGAGTCAGGGCTCACATAGAGGTCAGAGCTGGATTGGATTGGACAGGGTTGCTGTCTGTCAAACAGGCGGTCCAATACCTCGATCTGCTGTGGCGAGAACAGCTCCCCTCTCATCTGCTTCCTGAGGAAGTCCCGCCCACTGTGGCCGTGCCCGTTGGCCAGTGGTGACTCCTGCAAACCTACACAGAGAACGACAGGAGAAGGAAGTGAGGTCAGAAGGGTTGTAAATGGAGGACATTTAATGGAAGAATAAGAGAGTGAAAGGTTTGTGAGTCTGGTGTGTTTAACAGAGGGAGAAACCAGACAGATGATTCAGACGATGATAGAGGAATAAAGGGAGGCGTGGGTTGATGAAAATAAATCACTGAGGGAGAGGAGGAGAGAGAAGTTTGAGCAAAGTATGGACTCAAATAAACCGCAGTGAGCTGATTTAGGACTGAGTGACTTCATAGATTGTGGAGACTCAGAGAAAACGCTATACAAATGCAATCCATTACCAAGCATACGCTGTCTCTCATTCTTGATCTCTCAAAAGTACACTCTCGCCTCTCACATATACACACTTCTCTGTTCCTCTTGTCGTATCACCCATACACACACAGAGACACACAAATATATATTGCTGTGGTATCAGTATTAGACTGTGAGCTCTCGTATCCTGCAGTTATTGCAAGGCTGAGGGACTGAACGAGACAATTATAAGAACTCTGAAGAGTCGCAGCCCACAAATGATTAGAAAAGAGAGAACCAGAGAAAAAGATAAAGAGAAAAAGGGGATGAGGGTGAAAATCCCCCGCTATAGAGCCAATTCATTGCTCCAAACCGCTCTTGAGAGCCTATTTTAGTCCTGGGGGTCACTGTGTGTGTATGTGTGTGTGTGTGTGTGTGTGTGTGTGTGTGTGTGTGTCCAGTGGCAGGGGGAGTGATATGACAGACAGGTGGAGAGGGGGAAGGGGCTTCAAATATATATTTTTTTCCATTTGGACAAAGAATACAGATCCATTTGCGCCAGACTGTGATCCAAAGAAAAACCAAAGAGTGATGTAAAAAGACAGAAAGAAAGAAAGTGAGCGCAGGTTTTAGGGCATTTTACCACATTCAACATTAAAGGATAATTTCAGATTATTACAAGTTGGGTCTTGTTTACACCTGGAATTAGAATGCGTCTCCACATGTGTCTTGAGTGACCACTTGTGATCAGATCTCACTCTCCTGCTCTATGTGCCAATACATCATTTCCATCTGCAAAGACCAAACACGTTGTTGTTTTTAACTGGCAGCTTTAACAGGCACTTCCTGTGCCTAGTCTGCCAGAAATTAAAAGAGAAAAAGAAATTTGCAAAGACCTTGGCATGTGGGCAAAATCAAAACAATATGTGATTTTTTTTTCTTAACCCAAGATGTTTAATGAACTCATAATATATCTCTATGGTCTGAAATATTAAGACAAGCTGTTGGCGTGTGAATGAGTATGTTTGTTTTTTTTTGCCTACAAAGAGCATGTCAGGTGAGTAGGCGGTCCTTCCCTGTGGCCCAGGACACATTAGTGTCTGAAAGAATGTGGTCAAATGCAGCCCAGACTACCTTCGAATGTGGTCTTAGCAATCAGATCTCAAGACCCAGTCAGTACGCATTGGGTGCATTCATACCTGTCCTAAGACCTGCCTACCTGTGATTCAATCAAAATCAATGTTAATACCAGGTGTGAACAGGGTCTTATGCTTTCCCTACCCTTAAAGAAGTATTCCACCAAATAAGCCATTGGACACGATGGACAGTTTTAAAAATAGAAGACCAAAATCACAGCAGAACCAGAAAGATCGTCTAGTGACCTCTCTTCTCTCTAACCCCCCAATTTTTTTTAATTTTCATAAGTGTAGTGTTAGGCAATAGATTTTATGCAACTCCCTATGGAGTCCATCCATCCATAACACGCTTATCCTCTTGAGGGTTGTGAGGGAGCTGGAGCCTATCCCAGCTGACACTGGGCGAGCGGCAGGGTACACCCAGGACAGGATGCCAGACTATCACAGAGCTAACACAACCATTCACACTCACCTTTACACCTATGGGCAATTTAGAGTCACCAATTAACCTACAAAAATCCTGTCCAGTGTATCTCTTGTAAAATCAAACTAGCCTACCACAACAGCTTAAAGTCAATGGTTCAGCATTTCAACAAGCATATAGTCTATGCATCCAGTCCACAGGGCAGACCCAACACAAGGTAACATTAACATTAGCATTTAACATAAATGGCTTATTATTAGGGGTGTAAATCACTAGTTTAATCATGATGTAATATATCGGTTCTTTGGCCAATGATACAGTATTTGCCAATATCATGTAGCCTGCCACAATATGATTCAGATTAGATGTGATTCAGGAGCCTGCAATTGATATGAGATGATATTATATGCCAATTTAACACAATCAATTACTGAACTAACTACCACCCCTTTCTTTTTTGCCTTTGGCCACAAAAGATAAAAAAGAAAAACACACATAAATAATGTAAATAACTGTTACCACTTAAGCGCAATAAAGTTTACTTTAAACTGAATTTATGGGGCGTCGGTGCTTAGTGGTAGAGCAGGCGCCCCATGTACAAGGCTGTTGCCGCAGCTGCCCGGGTTCGACTCCAGCCTGTGGCCCTCTGCTGCATGTCACAAATCAAATCTTTAAACTGAATTTATGTAGATGATACTCAGATCTATTTAAGCTGTGAGCCAACAAATAACTATCAAAGCATGACAAACCTGCTAAGTTGCCTTCATGACATTCATAAGTGGATGTCACAAAACTTCACAGTCTTGGTTCTCTGTCCCACTCAATAACTTCACATTGCAGAAATCTTGGTGTCATTTTTGATCAAACCCTCTGTTTAGACAAACATGTAAATTCAGTAGTTCAATCCAGCTTCCACCATCTCAGAAATATCTTGAGAATCTGATCATTCCTTTGCAACAAACATCTGGAAACTATTATCCATGCATTCATAACCATTTGTTTAGATTATTGCAATTCCTTGCTCTCTGGCATCAGAAAAAAAATGTCATGCTTCCAGCTCATTCAAAACTCTGCTGCCAGAATCTTGACTCGGCCTAGAAAACTTGACCACATCACACCAATCCTAGCTTTCTGGTTACCTGTTGCTTTTACAATTGATTTTAAGATTTTATTGATTACTTACAAAGCCCTGAGAGGCCTTGCTCCAAGTTATATAACAGATTTTTTTATTGCCTTATGTTTCTTCTCGCATTAGCCTTATCCTCATCATCTTTCTCTTGGCTGTTTGTCATCATCTGCCTGCTGCTGTTTGACCTTGACACTGAATTGTAAAATAAAGCCATAAACTAAAGAGGATTACATGGATCGTCATTTTCACTTTGCATCAATGATATTGGATTATTAATCAGTAAATCAGTATATTGATATCTGGATCAATTGATTGTTACAACCCTACCAATTATGTCAGTTTTCAGCCAGCTCTGTGTCGTTGCAATGTGAGCAGTAACATTAAATATAGATGAGCAATGCTCAGCCTCCCTTCAGGCTGTCTCTCCCGAGCTGCAAGTAGCATGGGAGGCAGCAAAGCACCATTAACCTGCACAAAATGCCCACATTCCAGTGACACAGCGCTGGCTGAAAATCGTCAGTGTTTGCCTTTAAAACAACGGAAATGAATTTGGTAGCTAGTTAAGCTTTCACAAATATCCTGCAAGATTTTTTTTTTCTAGCTTCATTTTATTGGTCAGGTTAACTCGTATTGCAGCGGTGCCTGGATAGTGTGACGTGTGTGGTTGTGCTGCTGCCATGGTCCTGCCAGATGCCTCCTGCTGCTGCTGTAATCATTAGTCATACTTCTATTGTTATTATACACACATGATTATTGTCACACATGTATACTATCAGATATTAATATATTATTATTAATTATAATATTATTACTTTCATTAATGTTGTTGTAAGCTACTGTCATTACCGTCTGTCCTGCATCTCTCTCTGTCTCTGTCTCTCTCTCTTTCTGTCTCATTGTGTCATACGGATTACTGTTAATTTATTATGCTGATCTGTTCTGTACGACATCTATTGCTCGTCTGTCCGTCCTGGAAGAGGGATCCTTCCTCAGTTGCTCTTCCTGAGGTTTCTACCATTTTTTTCCCCGTTAAAGGGTTTTTTGGGGGAGTTTTTCCTTATCCGCTGCGAGGGTCATCAGGACAGAGGGATGTCGTATGCTGTAAAGCCCTCTGAGGCAAATTGTGATTTGTGATATTGGGCTTTATAAATAAAATTGATTGATTGATTGAATTGAGTAAAATGGTACTAACAATGGGACATAACCTCAGAAAATAAAATGCTGCAGTCAATTTGTGAAAGCCTGTGCCTAATTCATGTCATTATTATGATTGTTGACAAAGATGCAGAAAATACCCCCCAAAAAGCAAAATATCAGGTTACAGATGCAAGTAGCAGTTGGAGCTTAAAAAAAATTAAAGGAAACCAATTTGTTATTCATTTAAGAGACCTGTCATCTCCACTCCTTTGTATATTTACTCTTGCCCTTTAATAAAACAAAGGTATTTCTTATCCGATTACTTGACCGATCAACACATTCTCACTCCCAACTCATCAAATATGGTTGCCTTGTCAGTGGCCCTACATCAAAATATGATGCGCAAAGTACCCCCACTGCATCAGTTTCGGACTTTCAGGGATGGCATATCAATTCATGCTTGTTACATGCATTGTGTCTTTTCAAAATAAACTTCTGTTTTCACAGGAAAGCTTTAAGTTTTTAGGCAACAAAAGCAGGTGGTTAGGTTTAGAAAAACATTATGGCTTGGTTTATAATAAGTATGCTTGTTACTAACATAATATAACGTCACGTGATGTGTCACATGACATATGTCATTTGCACACATGCTAGCACGCCACATTATTATCAAAATAAACCAAGGGACTTTTGGTTTCACACGAGAAACAAACAGCGGGCTCCTGGGTGAAAGTCTGGAGTTTGTTTGACTGAGTTTGTTTTACCTCTGACTTTCTTGCTTTTTATGCTATGGTAGTTACTTGGAACATCAAAAAATGCCATCACCCAGTCTCATACTCATCTCATACTTTTGCTAAAGCATGCCTCTGTGCATGAGTGTCTGACCCTGAGGGCCATTGACCA